TCAATTTAAGTACCTGGGTCACTGGGTAACCGATAACTTGCATGATAGTGCCGACATGGAGAGGGAGAGAAGGGCCCTGTCTGTTAGATGTAATATGCTCGCCCGCAGGTTTGTTCGTTGCACCAAAGATGTGAAGATTTCATTATTTAAAGCATATTGCCAAAACTTTTACACAAGCAGCCTGTGGGTGAAGTATACGCAGAGAACCCTGAATACATTAAGGGTGCAATATAACAACGCTTTTAGGATGCTGATGGGGCTGCCGCGACACTGTAGTGCATCCGGCATGTTCACGGAGGCGCAAACAGGTGGCTTTCATGCCATTATACGCAAGAAGGCTGCCTCACTTATGATGCGTGTACGCGGCAGCGCTAATAGCATCCTAGCCGTTGTTGCCAATAGGCTGGACTGCCTCTACCAACTACATTGGGTGCAACTACACGTGCATAGGGTAGTGGTCTAGACTTTCACTTCTTTTCACTAAAATTAAGTAATTTTGTATTGTACTAACCATAGCACGTAAGAAAAATTTACTGTATTACTAACATTATTATGGATCATGGTCCGAAATAAATAATTATATTCAATTCTATTCTATTCTATTCTTTCGAGACCTAGTTGACACACGTCTAACGCTAAGTAACCATTTCTACCGTATTTATTGTTATGTGTCTTGATCCTCCTCATTTCTGATTCTAGGGTAAAACCGGGATAGATGCCCCACTTTTTGAAAGGGCCTCCTAATTTAAAAATTATTAGTTTACCACGAATAATTCCTATGGATATAACTAGTTTAATCTTTTACATTACATTAATACTTGATTTTATTGATCTAACATTTACTGATTTTGAAGAAATTTACTTTTTGCAAACCTATTTTTTTGAGGATAGATACCTATATGGATAGACGCCACACAATGAAAATACTAAGAAGGATAGACGCCCTTTAGAATAAAATAGTAAAATTCATAAAAATGTTTTATTTGTAATCTTTCATATATTGTATATACGTACATACTACATCCTTAATAATAAACATATACGTATTTAAAGTTACTACCCACTTGACTTCGTATTTTTGTCGCTATCAAAACATTCTAAACAAAAATGTTTTCAGTTTGAACTGTGAATAATTTGTCTTTTTTGTACTTTCATTTACTTTTAAACTATTATCATTTACGTCGTTTTCACTAAAATAATGTATTTTTTTATTTTCTCTTCCTAATTTTCTTGTTTAGTCCTTTGCTCCTAACCTAACCTACACCGCGAAAAATCTAGGCGACTATCCTATTCGATATGGATAGATGCCCTTTTATTATGTAAATAAGCTATATACAAAAGAGCGATTATTGACACCTAGGTGCGCAGTTAATGAACCAGTGTATAGTTATAATAAAAATAAAACGGAATTTATTGTAACTTACAAAGTTATGCGACAGTAAATACTTGCGTCTGAAATTTTGAACCAAGCCAAACGCGTCTATTCCACACGAAGCCCTGCAGGAACTTTGATGAGTGGTGTCTATACTTCTTATTTAAACTAATTATTCTTTGTTGCCATTTGGGAAACTTAGGTTTTTTGAAAACGAGGCACCTATCCCACTGCGGCATCTATCCCGGTTTTACCCTACGTGATAGAATCAGAAATGAGGAAATCCGTAGGAGAACTAAGGTAACCGACATAGCTCGAAGAATTGCTCAGCTGAAGTGGTAGTGGGCGGGGCACATAGCTAGGAGAACCGATGGCCGGTGGGGCAGAAAGGTTCTTCAATGGCGACCGCGCACCGGACGACGCTCAGTGGGTAGCCCCCAAAGGTGGACCGACGATCTGGTAAAGGTCGCGGGTAACCGATGGATGCGGGCAGCGCAGGACCGATCGTCGTGGAGATCGTTGTGGAGGCCTATGCCTATGTCTTGATCCATCGTACTAGTCATGGATGCACTAAATGCTTGTTTTGAATTCTTTCTTTACTTAATAAGTCGTTTTTTTAAGTTATAGGTACTTCGTAAAATCAGTTATTCCCATCGAGTGTCTAACCAGAGACGAAATAAGGGTCATCGATCCCTGGCAAGTCATTAGTCAATTGGGGCCTTATTTCACTTTTAAATAGCAACCATCGTTTGCGCTGAAATCACAAATTTGAAAGCTGAAATAGTACAGCGCCAGCAACTGACCTGTGAGTACGTCTCCGTATATTCCAAAAATATTCTGTATTTATTGTAATAAAGATAATATCTCTAACAATGAGGGGCTGTCCCATTCGGTAGTGTGGGAAAAATAGCAAAACTCTAATTACAAAACAAACGGAATCACATTTCATTAGTAATTAAATATTATATAATATAAATTATGTAATTTTCCAATTTTCGTCCATTATAGCAAAGCTCGAGTAAAACTGGTCAATTTGTAGTGAAACAATTGACGAAATCCGTCAAGTGTCCCGAATTCGGGCTGGCAATGATGATTTGACACAATAGTTTTCGAACAAATTAAATAACATTTCGTTGGTTATATACTCCATGTTTATTCATGTTCACTGTTCTGTCTTCCCTGAGAAGAACTTGCAAGAAACTGTGGGGATTACTTTTTTCAAAAAAACTTAATTGCTATGGAATACACTTTGAATCATAATTGTGTGGAATTTAGACTCATGTTGTCTTTCCATACTTCTTTATCTAAAACATACTCTTCAATTTTGTAATATGACTTTTCAATTAAAATACTTTTAATGTAAGTTTTAAACTTAGGAAATGATAATGTTACAGTTGTTACTCACGGCGACGTATGTGTTTGATGAATAAACTTAATTTTATATTTGATGTTAAACAATAAGCATGAATTTTTGTTATGATTCAAACTGACGAGATGAACAAGTCGTGTGCGTTGTAAGCGACACGCCTGTCACAAAGAGCTGATGGTTACTGACACAACGCCCTTCAGAAATAGGAAAGGTGTACTTCTAAAAATTTTATCAAAGAAGCCCCATGCCCAGCAGTGTGACCTACGTAAATTGATGATCATATAAAGAATAGCATGCAATTTTACTCGCTCGCTAGCTACTTCAAAAGACTGTAGGCAACACGTTGCGTAACAGATCCAAGGGCGGTACTATACGTTATTTGTTTATTAATTAGATCCTCATGGGACTCCTAATTGATTTGCAAGGCTTAATACGACGAAGGCTTAGCAGGATAAACACTTTAGGTTTAAGTATTAGGTTAAAATCAACAAAGTTACGTAATTTATTTTAGCGATTTTCTTTAGGTATTTTGGTTCTACGTTTGTGACACGGCTCAATTTACTCAATTTATATTTTTATAACGATATTGTACGTAGCATAATGAACTTCATGGTAAATTGTATAAAAACTAGATACGAGCCGAAAGCTTCCGAGGAATGCGCGAGCATTCTCGAGCATACGCAAGAATTCTACGGAAGATTTTGGCTCGTATCCAATTTGTACGTTGCACAAATTGACCATACAGTTCATTATTGTATGTACAGTAATTTCGCTTCCATTCCGTTCAACCGCAATATAAATTGAAACTAAAAAAATTTGAAGTATAATAATTGTAACTTTTTTATCAAAAAAACCCACCTTCAAAAGTTTGTGCAATTACATCTATTTGCCAAGTGTTATTGAAATCGGTTCACGAACAGTGGGTGAAATCCTGGACGACGGGTCTAATACAAAAAACACGAAAAAAATGCCCCAAGTCAACCTATTTAAACATACTGACATGTAAAGGAATATGAAAAAGCTAAAACGTTGAATTTAAATTGTAATGTCATCGCAGTACTGTCTAATTTTGCTTGCCTCGCTGTCAGTCGAACAAACGAAGACTAGAGCGTGAATGACGCTCTGTATACGATTTTAACGCCCTATAAGTTCGAACACCCGACGTCCATATAATTGTAAGTCAATGTTGAAATCCAATAATCAGAATCCATTCTCTAACTGGTCACCCTTCCCACCTTCCGTCTGTTACCTTGGGTTGCATTGTAACAGGCAGCCAAACGACGTCCACTGCTGAACATAGGCCTCTTGCCGCTTGCATCCAGCGGATTCCCGCAGCCTTCACAAGATTATCAGTCCATCTTGCGGGTGGTCTGCCCACCGCGTCTTGCAGTACGCGGTCGCGGGTTAAATTTTGCAATTCTTTGGGCTATGTCGGTTACTCTGGTTCCCTTGCAGATATCCTCATAAGTGATTCGAACTCGCAACGAAACTCCGACAATAGCCCTTTCCATTGCCCATTGAGTGACCTTGAAACTTCTTATTAGGCCCAAAGTGAGCGACCACGTCATCATTGGCCGAAGACTTTAGTCTTGAGACTCTGTGGTATTTTGGACAAGAAGATATGGCGTAATTTCCCGAACGCTGCCCAGCCTGGTTGGATTCGATGATTGACCTCTTTCTCGAAGTTGGACCTATACCTAACTGAATAATTTGTCCTAGGTATACATAATCGTCAACAACTTCGAGTGTAGAGATTTCGATCTTCATAGGAGTTGACCGTACATGGTTATTCGACATGATCTTCGTCTCGACTCGAATTTTATTTTCATTTACAGAATCGTATCGAAACCGTTGTTCTTTCACTATATGTTGGATGATTATCGCAAAGACACGATTAGGTTGAGTTAGGTTAAGTTAGGTATAAAAGAAAATCCGTGCGCAGTTGCTGGTCTGCCATCGGACGCGTCCCCAGGTGGCGGATAGGGGAACGGCTCCCAGATATGGAAGCTACCGGCTTCAGCCGGCGCGGACCAAAACCAGCACTGGGAGGAGAGGAAGATAGCGTAGGTTCTGTCCTGCGCTATCTAACTCGTAACCGAGACGGTGGGCGGTGTCCGGTCACAAGACCGGCTCCGGCCAGCCCGTAATCCCACATTGAGTGGGACCGGGGGTCCTCTTCATTGAGAGGAGGGCTGCGAGGAAGAAAACCTCTATAAAAATTACCTCAATCCTAAGTTCTGGCGCCCGGCGATGGGATGAATGGCTGGAGAGTATCCAGTCGATAGGGCGCCCCCAGTGGGGAGCTCACCCCCTTCCAAAGCAATCATGGAAAAGGCTCGTTTTGAAAATGGTCCCCAGGCGGGTCCCCGAAAGGGGGAATCCCGCCCATCCGCTTCGGCGGCTGGCAGCCCCTCGTACTCTGGGGGGGGCAAAAACAGCCTCGTGGGTCGACTGGAAGTCGATCCCCGTGAACACGACGAACGCATACGACAAATGGACTCGGAACTTGCTAACGATACCGGTGACGAACAGGTAGTGGTGATGAGCGCTAAGGAAGCGTCTGTCATCGCTAATGACGACGGTAGCAGAACAGCGACCTCTACGACCCGTAAGAGGACGTTGACAATGCCGCGGAAAGGCAGCCTTACCAAAGAGGCATGCACTCCCGCGAAAGTAAACACAGCACGCCGAGGAAGGGGCCATACCGGCAAGAGTGGCAAGAGCACCAACCCAGGTGTCAACCTTCGCGTAGCCACGGCTCGTCTCCGTGGGGAGAATGTGGAGGCGGAACAACCCATTGAGCGGGAACTGCTTTGCGGGGCCTACCGAAAGGTGACTCCAGTTCCCGTACTCGACATAGAGGAGGACGAGGCTCCCGCGGAAGAAAACCCAATGGCGTTTTCCGCGGAAGAGATGCGGGCCTATGCTGGCAGGAAGGTGGCCGCTATCTTTGAGGTCGCCCAAAAATCCCGATCACTGAAGGGAACCTTTGTCAAAAGACTAAAGGAAGCGGCGACTGCCTTGCAAGAGGCCGTAGAAGCCTTGGCAACGCGGACGGAGTCGGAGGAGGCACGTCGTCTCAGAGCAGACAACGGTCGGCTCAAGAGGGAGGTCGAAAATCTCAAAGCCGACCTTGCCGCGCACAGGCGCGAGTTCCAAGACATGCGGACCGCCATGCGAGCTTCTATGCTGGAGACCTCTGCGGAAGCATCACTTCGACCGCCATTATTGGATGGGGACATGCTGGACGATCTGAAGCGCTCGATAATCACCTCGGTTGGCACCATGGTGAATGCCCGTCTTGAGACGATCGAGGAGCGACTGCTTCCTCCGGTGATCCATCGCCCCCCTCTGGCGGCGGACCGACGGAGAACAGCCGATGCGGATGAGGCTAGGCCAACCATGGTCCTCTCTCCATCGGTAGACAAAAGGCCCGTGAAACCGCCGGCGAAGCCCAAGCCTCTAAAGCCACCGGCACGAGGGTCGGTGGTGCCCGCAGTGGTGTCCAAGCCGAACAGTGGCCAACGAAAGCCAGCGCCTGGACCACTGCAAGCTGGGAATGCCTCCCCAGCAGCAGAGGCTTCCTCTGTAGCCCAAGAAAACTGGGTCACGGTAGAAAACAAGAAGAAGAGGAGGAAAAGAAAGAAGAAATCCTCAGCTGACAAGGGCACTAGCGCCACGCCTGTACCCAGAAAGGTCACTGGCACTGGCACACCGCAGAAGGTGGCAGCCAAGGATAAATCCAAGACCAAACTTAAGCCCCCGCAGTCTGCCGCGGTGGTAATAAGTTTGCTGCCTGAAGCGTCACAGAAAGGCGTGACCTATGCGCAGGCGCTGGCTGAAGCGGAGGCACGCGTTGACCTGGCGGGGCTAGGCATAGAGGGAGTCAAGTTCCGCCAGTCGGCCACCGGGGCCAGATTGCTAGAGCTGTCGGGACCTCAGGGTGCACTGGCAGCCGACCGGCTGGCGGAACAGCTCCGCCCTGTACTTGACGGCGTGGCCAGCGTCACCCGGCCCACAAAGACTGCGGATATCCGCATCTCGGGTCTTGACGACTCAGCCACTAAAGCGAAGGTGGCCGCTGCGGTGGCAAGGACTGGGCAGTGCACAACAGACCTGGTCAAAGTCCTGGAGATCCGCCCTGGCCCAGGCGGGATGGGCTCTGTGATAGTGCAGTGCCCAATAAGCACAGCCAAGACGCTGGCTGAAGCGGGGAGGATACTGGTCGGCTGGAGCTCTGCCAAGGTACAAGCCCTAGAGCAGCGCCCGCTCCGCTGTTATCGATGCCTTGGCCTTGGCCATACGAGGCCTATGTGTACTTCGGGCAGCAGTCGTGAAGACCTGTGCTTTCGATGCGGCAACGAGGGCCATCAGGCCTCCAACTGCAAAGGCGTGCTGCGCTGCGCGGTCTGTGCCGACGCCGGACGTCCATCGGACCACCGCATGGGGGGGAGGAGCTGCAAACCACCTCCCATGAAACAAAAAGCGGTCCCTAGGACCCAGACCGCCATTACTGTCGACCGCCAACAGACGCGGGAGGTGGCTAGTAATATGTCGGAATGATGTCATCTCAACACACTAGCTTTCTCCAGTCGAATCTTAACCACTGCGCCGGAGCTCAAGATCTGCTCCTGCAGTCCATGGCGCAGTGGCAAATAGACTTAGCGGTGGCCTGCGAGCCGTACTACATCCCTGCTCATGAAAACTGGGCAGGGGACCTAGACGGCCTAGTGGCGGTCGTGAGGAACGGCATGGGCCCCCCTCTCACCACTCTGGAAAGGGGCTCGGGGTATGTAGTGACTGGGTGGGGGGAGTACATAATAATTGGAACGTACTTCTCCCCCAACCGCTCCCTGGCGGAGTTTGAGACATTTCTTGACTCCGTCAGGACAGCGGTGTTGCGACAAGCGCCGAAGCAAGTTATTGTCCTCGGCGATCTTAATGCGAAGTCGCAAGCGTGGGGTAATCTCGTCTCTGACGCGCGAGGTGGTGCTGTACAGATCTGGAGTATACTCTCTGGTTTGTCCCTCCTGAATAGAGGGACTGCTCAGACTTGCGTGCGACAACAGGGAGGGTCCGTAGTGGACGTCTCGTTCGCTACTCCCGCGGTCGCGCGCAGGATCAGAAACTGGAGAGTGGTGGAGGACGTGGAGACCTTGTCGGACCACCTATATATCCGTTTCGAGATCTCCGCGGTCCTTGGACATTCCGCCCCGATTCGTAGACCGAGTCGCTTCCCACGCTGGGCGCTAAGTCGGCTGGACCAGGAGATGGTCGAGGAAGCTGCCATAGTACAGCGCTGGTTCATTGCTGGAGTGAGAGAGGGCGTCACCGCCGACGATTTGGCGAGCCACCTGCATGCTGCTCTGACTGCAGTGTGCGACGCGGCCATGCCCCGGGTCCGGCGACGACCTCCCCGCCATCAGGTCTACTGGTGGTCGGAGGAGATCGCGAAACTCCGAGCGGACTGCAATGCTGCCCGGAGAGCCTACGTCCGGTGCCGACGCCGTCACGGCCATGCCCCGGACATAGAGAGCCAGCTGTGGGAGACATACCGCCTTAAGAAGAAGTCTCTGCAGCTGGCAATAAGCCAGGCCAAAACCCGTGCCAGAGAAGAAATACTGGCCGGGTTAGATCGGGATCCATGGGGTCGTCCGTATCGTGCGGCGCGGAAGAAACTCCGTGCCCAAAGCGCTCCCATTACGGAGACCATGGCCCCGGATCTCCTGCGAAGGGTGGTAGGGGAGCTTTTCCCAGACCCTCCTGAGCACTCTCCCCCGGTGATGGCCCCACCCTCCTCACCGGAGGAGGGTCTCTCGCAGGTCCCCTCTGTTACTGAGGGAGAAATAGCAGCAGCCCTGTTCCGACTACGGGGCAAAAAGACCGCACCGGGACCGGACGGCGTTCCGAGTGCTGTACCCGAGTGCGGGTGCTGTACTTGGCAGCGGAATACCTAAATGAGTTGCTCCGGGGACTGTTCGACACGTGCCTACGTAGCGGGCAGTTCCCGGAACAATGGAAGCAGGGCCGACTGTGTCTGTTGCAGAAGGAGGGTCGTCTCTCGGGTATTGAACGAGACGGCCAAGCTCTTCGAGAGGATCCTCGTTTACCGTCTCGTTAGGCACCTCGAGGAGGTGGGGCCTGGTCTCTCGGAAGCCCAGTACGGCTTCAGGGCGGGGCGGTCTACTGTCGACGCCCTGGATGCCCTGAAGAGTCTCACGACAGACGCCGTGGATAAGGGGGAGGTGGTCATGGCTGTTTCCCTTGACGTCAAGAACGCCTTCAACAGCCTTCCGTTCGAGACACTGAGAGAGGCGCTCCGGTACCATGGAGTACCTCCCTATCTCAGAAGGCTTTTGGAGGCGTACCTCCAGGACAGGGTGGTTCTATGGGAGGGCAGAGACGGGAGGCTACACCAGAGGCGCGTCGGGTGCGGCGTTCCACATGTTGTGGAATGTTGGCTTTGACTGGCTCCTACGCGGTCCGCTCCTTCCCGGGACGAGGGTGATCTGCTACGCAGATGACACCCTCGTTACTGCTCGGGGCAGGACTTATGAAGAGGCCGCGCGGTTGAGCACCGTAGTGACATCTCTGGTGGTAGAAAGGATCCATCTGTTGGGCTTGAGGGTCTCTATACACAAAACGGAGGCCCTCCTATTCCATGGCCCGCGCAGAGGTCGCCCTAGGGAGGCAAGGATCACCCTTTTTGGGGAGACGATCCCTGTCAAGGCTCAGATGAAATATCTGGGCCTTGTACTGGACGGGAGGTGGAATTTCAGGACGCATTTTGCCCAACTCGCTCCGAAGCTGGTGGGTACCGCTGCCGCCCTAGGACGGCTCTTGCCAAACGTAGGCGGACCAGGCTCGGTTTGCAGGCGCCTGTACTCAGGAATAATCCGGAGTATGGCCCTGTACGGCGCACCGGTTTGGGTGGAAGCTCTCACCGCTCGACTTAAACCCTTCTTGCGGAGGCCGCAGAGGGTCATAGCGGTGAGAGCGATCCGGGGTTATCGCACGGTGTCGTGGACGGCGGCCACTCTTCTGGCGGGCGATCCTCCCTGGGAACTCCAGGCGGAGGTGCTCGCGGAAGTGTACCGATACCGAGCGGCCATGCAGGCCAGGGGGGAAAGGCCGAGCGCCGAAGATCTGGAGAGGATCAGGGCAGCGGGCCGCGCTGCCTTAATCCGGAAATGGACGGAGGACCTAGAGGCCCCAGTCGCGGGCTTAGTGACGGTGGAGGCAGTTCGCTCCCACCTAATCCGCTGGGTCGACCGGCGATATGGGTCTCTGTCCTACAGATTGGTGCAGGTTCTCACCGGACATGGATGTTTCGGCGAATACCTGCACCGGGTTGCAGGTCGGGAGACGACCCCTGTCTGTCACGAGTGTGGCGCTCCCGTCGATACAGTGCGTCATACCGTGGCAGAATGTGCGGCATGGGGCCCCCAGCGGCACTCCCTGACCGCGGTAGTGGGCGGAGATCTCTCGCTGTCGACCATCGTGGGCGCGATGCTCGACAGTCAGAGGTGTTGGGAAGCAATGGCCTCCTTCTGTGAAAGCGTAATTTCGCACAAGGAGGCCTCGGAACGGCTCAGAGAGGACGACCCCCTCGCTGACCCGCTCCGAAGACGGCGGCTGGGGAGACGAAGGAGGCAGTACGCCCACCTTCTTCCCCCGCTGTAGTGAGCCGTGGGGACAGGGGTCGGGGGACTCTATCTCCAAGTCTGTGCTCACAAGTGTGAGGGTGCCTTTGTGTTGACCCGGGGCACTCTCTGAAGGCCGGGGTCCGCTCACGCGGACCATCCGCCGAGGCGTTCCTGTAGTATGCGTAAGCGGATCCAGGGGCGCCTCGCTATGGCGGTGGGGGTTAACCGCTGGGTTTTAGTGTGTATACCGGGCTAGAGCC